TGAAACCTCAAAAAGGGTCATTCTACAATTCTTGTTGGAATAATGTTTGGTTTTTAACAGATACTGCCTCAAATATCTCAAACTAGAAATCTAGATACTTCTTTATTTGGCCTCTCTGAAATACCTTTGACTTTTCCCCTGAAACGATTCATGAAATGTCGGATCAACACAAAGCTCATAAACCAATAAAGTCTCTAACGACCTTATCTTTGACTGTAACAAGGCCCCGATCAACCTCATCCGCCTGACCGATGATCTACAATTGAGGTCGTACTATGGCCTATCCTTGCTGCAATACAGGCCCATTGTTAGCCTAGGTATATTTGACCTCCGAGGTCCTCTCTACACTTATTAGCTTTTTTACCTTAGTTCTCACAGATGCTTGTATTCATATTTCTCTGTAGATTCCCTACATGCCTCATTGGGTTCTGGCTTGACCTCCTCAAGCAAACAGTTAAGGTGTCCCGGGGTCACCACTAAAACACTCTACGGTACAACAACCTGCTCAACCAACTTCATCTGTACCAAACCTCCTCATGTGCATCCATTCAAGTACTCTGAGCCCATCGGGTCCTCGAATTAATGATCCTGAGTGAAAAAAAGAAGAAAAAGATCGGTAGTTCGACCATGCGGACTACCCAGTGAGAAAAACTGAAGCTCTAGTCATAGAGAAACCAGATCGTTCTGCAACCTCTAAAGACGTGTGTATGCAATCCACGCATCTGCTTTCAATTTTACTTGTGGGAAAAACCAACTGCTGGCATGGAAATAGGCTCAACCGAGCTTCCCATGCCCTTAATCACACCATTCAGTAGACGCTCTCTGTGTTGGACCCTATTCTCAGTGAAGAATTGTCGATCACGATCCAACTACCGAGATCAAATGGTTAGAGACGAAGATTGAGGCTCACAAGAATGCCCTTGTCCTCGTGAGTTCGTCTCTTCAGAACAATCAAGAGAACGTTGCTAGGCTAAAGGCGGAGAATGCCTACCCCAAGAGGCCAAGACTGAAAACACTCAGCTAAAAGCCCAGTTAGCTTAGCTCATAGCCTCTATTTCCAAGCCTAAGGCTAAAGCTCACGAAGAGGACCTGGCCTCATTCCCGACCTCAGATTTGGGGAGGAGCTTCTTGGAGCACTATCGCCTAGAGTTGCATGTGTGTTTTAAGAACTCGATGGAGTTTCTGCAGTGGTTAGGTCCGGCGGCCAGACAATATTTCACTATTTTCGTTCAACAGACCTTGGCCCAGGCTACCGCAGATGGCTTCTCTGGTACTTTTTAAGAAGATGAGTTCAGGCGAAGTCTGTTAAATCCTGATGGTTGAGAGGGTAACTCTCAAGAGCCCCGCGACCATCCTTGGTGAGAATCGACTCTGGTCGCAATCATGAAGCGTATGAACCTTCTTGACTCCCCTTGAGCCTTTAAACTATTTTCTATCGTTATAATATTTTATTAACTGGTTTGCCGATACCCGATATTTTGTAATGTCTTGTTTTTGCAATGGAATGTCTTTCTTTACAAGATTTGTCTTTTGTTTCTTATGCTTCTCTAAACCTTCTCCGGCCTTTGCACTAACTTAGATCTTGGTCTAACTTATCACGAGCTGCAGATTTATGCTCCATGCCCTCGAGCTAACCACTTGAAGTTCTTCCTTCTTTAGCATAGACCCTCGAGCTAAACACTCAGGATTCTTCTTACTTTGACTTAAAGCCTGGAGCTAACCGCTCAAGGTTATGCCTCCATTAGCTTAGGCCCGCGAGCTAACTATTGGAGGTTTTTCCTACCATGACTTAGGCCCTCGAGTTAACCGCTC